CCCCAAAACCCCAAAACCCCAAAACCCCAAAACCCCTCAGGTATTTATAGTCATTGACATTAAGAATTATTTATCATTGTGAACGTTGCTCTTGCATTTAAATCATCATGGTCAGTTGTGCCAAACTTCTCAAATACATCAAGGTAGGTTTCATCATCTCCATATAGCTTGTCTTTAAACCTGGTTAATAACACATTGACATTGATATCCTTGCATGAAATTGCGATATCTTCATAAGAAACTTTTCCATGATTCTCCTCATCTATAAATTCATAGAAAATCTGGGCCTCAAGTTCGGTGATAAAGAGACCTTCGACCCTCAGGATTCTTGTGACAAATTTCTTAGGAGAGACATCCTTTTTATTTTTACTGATCTCCTTCCAGAAGTCCTTTAAATCTTGGTTCTTCCTCATAAGGTGTCGCTCAAGCTTGTCTTTTATCTTATTGATATTTTCGAGGATGATTTCTCTTGTAACATCAAATACTTTTCCTTTATCCTTCTTGATAAGTGAGGCTGGATCAGTTCTATCTTTATAAGTATCAGCTATTTCTTGTCCTCTCTTCTTCTCTTCTTCCTCATCAGCAACAGCTAATTGTTTATGTCTGTTAAAGGCATTAAATAAGGGTTGACTGAACACACCCAAGAATTCTTTCTTATCAATAATTTCCTTCTTTCCATTATCAAATAGAGTGGAGGAGCCACAAAACATATTGAGTTCATTCTCTGTGAGGCCACATTTCATTTTTAAGGCCACATTTTTGAAACTGTTCTGAGTGAGTTGTTCCTTTTCCTTACTGAAAATATAGAATATTTGGTCAACCTCTCTAAATCTGGTATCTTTGGCTATACTTTCGCAGAGAGTTTGGATGATATTGTTCTCCCAAAGTGTAGTAACTGCAAGGCCAGTTCCTCCATGAGAAACAAATTTTCTTAAAGGCTCACTCACTGTTATTTTTGAATATAATACTCCACAGTGCTCGCCTTTTGAATTTAGGATGGTGATAGGTCCTGAGATATCTTTGTTTAATGTGAGCAACTTGAGGGGAACCTTTGCATATCCAATGATGTCATTTTCATCATCAAGTTGTTCCTTCTCATCCTCTTCCACTGGTACTGGACCTGAGTTATCAAAAACAGTGACTACAAGATGCTCTTTATCAATATAGTCAATGAAATTAGGCTTGAAAGAAAGCTCATAGTTCTGTATATCGTCAAACCTTGGATTAGATCCCTTCGAAGCAACAGTCATATGTTCTCCAAATGTGTAGAACTGGTAGTGACAGAAGGGGCGAAGCTTCTTCTGTTTTGTTCCTTTCTTTACAAGGTCTGTACATTCTACTATTTCTATCGAAACTCATTTTGTCCTTGATTTCGTTGTTTCTCTCATTTCGTTCTTAGCTTCCACTATTTTTCTATCATAATATATTTTGATAGCCTGATGGAAGTCATTTTTGAGCCTCATTTTGAATTTAATCGATCCTATTACAACATCAGAATTGGTGATGCTCATTATCTCAGCATAACTGCTGATCACCTTCTTTGGAGTAGGGTTCTCCCTATCAATAGCTACTAAATCCTTGAGAAGGATGTTCGCAGTTCCGATAATTTTTGATTTGTTCAGTTTAGATTGATGGACCTCGATCAGCAAACTTTTGGTATCAAGGTATTGAATCAAGAAATCATCAAATTTGTTTCTGAAAGAAAAGAATGTCTCGTATAGAGGTGAGAACCCTGTTTTTAGTTCAGTCGCTTGGGTATCATGATCATAGAATGATAGAGTCAAGAAGGTATTGAAAGTAGTATCATTAATTTTAGACTTTCCTAACATTTGTACGAGAGAGTTTGAGTGAAATTCTCCACTTTCTATAACTAATTCAAGTTTATTTTCTTGGTAGTCTAATTGAGTTTCATCTGTCATTTCTGAGAATTCACTCATATTATCTGAAGCTTTCTCAAGATGAAAATCTTTGCCTCCTATCATTCCTGTGAATCCTTTACCAGCAAGAGCTTTACGAAGTTCAGCATTTTCTTTTTGCTTTATATCAAGTTGAAGAGCTAGATCCTTGATCTTTATCTCATTTGCTTTGACTTTATTTCTCAGATCTTCAGCTTCTTCTTTTACCAGGGCTACTTTTTCTCCTTCAAGATCACTCTGTAGCTTAAGCATTTGCTGCATCTTTTCGAGTTCTGCTGCAATATCTCTTTTGCTGAGTCTAAGTCTTTCGATTTCCTTCAGTAATGATTTGGGATCTTTTATATCAATATCATCAACTCCATCTTCATAATTCTGATCCCAGTTGGGTTCAGTCCCTTGGTAGTTGAGGTCTTTCATAGTCTGTCTGAATGCATTATCGTCTATCCTCATGAGTTGGCGCTGGACATTTTCAATGCTCAATTCTCCATCTCCTTCATATTTCATTTTAAGCTCTTGATATTTCTCTTCAAAATCTTTGGCTTTTCTCTCTTCAATTTCAACAACTGCCTCCATTTTTGCTGATTTTTCTTCATGCCCTAGGATCTTCTCCTTCAGGTTCTTGATAATCTTCTTCTTTTCATCTCTTTCCATCTCGAGTTTAGCTATTCTATTCTGGGAGCTAGTTCCTGATTCTCTCTTTAAGAATGGCTCAGTGAGAAGGTCTTTAAGCCTATTCTCAAGATCTGTTTTCTCCTGATCAGACTCTTTGAGTTGTTCTTTAAGATCATCAACTGCTCCTTGTGTTCTCTCTAAAGCAGTAATTTGGGCTGTCAGGTTAATTATCTGTTCCTTTTTGTCCCTAATTTCATCTAGCAAAGAGTTGTTCTTTTGCTTGCACTTTTCAAGTACCACATTAAGGGCTTCATAGTTAGCAGTTACTTCTTGTAAACTTCATTGCATTCTGACAACCTCTGTGTCATTCTTTTCAAGTTTGACAAGAAGATCTCTACTTGCCTGGACATCAGGCTTGCCGTTCCTGAGAATAATATTTTCTTCTCTTAAAGATTCTATTATTTTCATGTTCTCCTTAAGCCGATCCTTAAGTTTGTTTATGATTTCAACCCTAGCTTCATCATCTTCTCCGCTTTTAGAAGAAGCCTTAGACTTACTGCCAATAGACTTAGAGGATGTATAGACATTCTTGGTCTTCATTTCAGCTTTCATGGTCTTAATAGTAGCTTTAAGTTTCTTAGTCTCTGCCTTAAACTCAATATTTTCATCAATAATAACATCTAGCTCTTTTTCGAACTCATTTCCGAGGACTCCGCCAGCAAGTTTGCGCTCCTTACTGATCAGAGATTTAATCCTTTTAAGTCTGGAGGCCATACGTTTAATATCTTCATCAAGCTCAGTTTGATGCTTTTTGAGTCGAGCATTTTCTTCAGAGAGATCATAATATTTCTCCGCTCTTTGTGCAAGGGATAGTACATTATTAGTATTCCCTCCTTTAACCCCATTCTTCATGCCCCTTGGTTTCTTGAAAGGGGACTTTTTAGATTTCTTAGCTGATTTAGTAGTAATTTCTTCTTCAGAGGAATCATCTAGAGCATGTACATTCTTCTCTTCCTTAATTTCCTCTAGATCCCGATTTTTTCCTCTCGAGAGGTTGGGCTTCATTTTAAAATTTATTATTTAAATTTGGAATTTGAATGGGGTTTTGGGGTTTTGGGGTTTTGGGGTTTTGGGGTTTTGGGG